GAGCACTGCTTCTTCCTCGCGGAGGATCTCTCACAGTGGACTCAGAAGACCCACCATGCACCGTGTGCCCAGCCGCGTCGCTTACTCACAAACCATTTCCTGACTTACCCCCCGGCTACGAACGCTACAAGCCGCTCAACAAAGTTTACAACGACTTTATGAACCTCAGCCAGGAAGGGCTCGACGGCGAAAACTATACACTTACCTTCATTGACACAAGCACCCGCTACGTCTGGGCCATCAACACCGACTGTCGCTCCTTGGCCTTGGAGTGTTTCATCGAATGGATGAAGCGGGCTGAACGACAATCAGGATTGAAGCTGAAAAGTTACCAAACAGACGGAGCCCTAGATTTCTTCTCGACCGAGTTCACGGAGCTCTTCAAGCAGAAAGGGATTGAACACCTGGTGTTTCTGCCCTACGCTCACAAGTAGCAAGGCATAGCAGAACGGACAAACAGGAGCCTCGCTACAAGGACGAGGGCCCTGATGAAGCAGTCGGCCATCCCAGCCAAGTATTGGCCGTTTGCGATGAACCACGCTGTCCACCTGCACAACTTGCTGTCCTCTTGAAGCTTTGAGAACAACAACTCTCCTTACAGGGCTTGGACGGGCACAAAGGCGGACACGCGTCTGCTTCGAGTGTTTGGCTGCATGGTACAGTACAGGCCCCACACAGCAAGGACCGGAAAGTTTGCTAACCGGGCTCGCTGGGGCATTCATCTCGGAATCGAAAAAAAATACAAGACGTGGATCATGCTGGACTACGCGACACACGAAGTGACAAAATCACATGAGTGCATCTTCTATGAGAAGCTGACTCTGCCACTGTTCAGCGAACACCGCGAAGCTGACAGGGCAGCGGAAAGGGTTTTCGAGGGACACCGCAGCTTCGCAACTTTACACGATGAAGCTGACCTGGAGGAGGACGCTGACGCAGCAGCAGCCACTCAATTTGATAGCGCACACAACATCCCCCTTGCAAGCCCATTCCAGACTCCAACCTTCATACATGTACATCAATCTGATCCTAACGAGACAACTTGAGAAGCTCACAACTTCAACAGCGAGGCACGCCGATCCCTGGATGCCGAGTTACCACCACCAAACACCTCGCAAGGCACCCTCCGCCTCGGCAATGACAACGACGACGATGTAGTCGAAGTAACCAGCTTCCATGACTACGATCGTCTGCACTACGAAAAGACCAACGAAACTGGTCTACGCATTCTCGGACTCGCAGCCGCTGTTTGCCATGAATCCCCCAAGGAGCCCACCAATGTTTGCAAAGCTCTTTCTGGCCCCGACAGTGAGAAATGGAAGGCAGCCATGGCCAAGGAAGTTGCGGCGCTCAAGAACCACGGAACATGGAAGCTGGTTCCTCGAACGTAAGCGAAGGGGATAAAAATTCTCAGCGGAAAATGGGTCTTCCGCATCAAAACACTCGCGGGTGGCTCCATTGACAAATACAAGGCGAGATGGGTGGTGTGCGGCTTCGAGCAAACTCACATGGTGGACTTTGACCTTACCTACGCACCTGTCGGACAGCACACCTCAGTACGCATCCTCATCTGCATCGCAGCCGTTAAACAGCGTCCGCTCCGTCAGATCGACGTTGGCAGTGCATTCCTCTACGCTCCGGTCGACGCCATCATCTTCGTCGAACAACCTCATGCCTCCAAGGAAAACAACGGCGCCGTCTGCCTGCTTCCGAAATCCCTTTATGGGATCAAGCAAGCACCTTGCCTGTGGCAGCAATATCTGCACACCGTTCTCGCAGAGCTCGGATTCAAATAGCTACCACACGACCTCGGGATGTACCGGAAGGAGTCGCGTGGCAAATTCATTCTCCTCGTCGCCTACGTCGATGATCTACTTTACACTGACGACGACACGGAGCTGTTGGACCAGTTTGAAGTAGACATTAAAGAGAAGCTGGAGGTTACTATCAACCATAATGTCACTCAGTTCCTGGGTCTCAACATCACCCAGTCCGCCACCTCTATTCATCTCTCCGCCACCAAATACGTTGAAACGCTCACAAAGAAATTCGCCATAACACCAATCAACCTCTCTACCCCCTTTCGCACTCCTCCCTTTAACAACAAACCGGACACCACGCCACTCTCCCTCGAGAACCATCGGCTCTACCAGCAGCAGCTGGGGTGTCTCCTGTTCGCCGCCGTCACATGCCGGCCCGATCTCTCCTACGTCGCAAGCCAGCTCGCTCAGTACATAAAGTGACCTAAAGGGGAGAATCTACTAGATCTACGCCAAGCACTTCAATACTTCATCTCAACTCCTGACGTCTCACATAGGTAACAGAACCGCGCGCGATTCGTAACCCACCTCAATCAGTTTTACAGTGGAATTTTGGAAAAAGAGTTACGTCCCTTTCCGTCTTACCCTTCCGTCAATGCAAACAAGCTGTAAACGCAATTGGTCGAACCAATTGCATCACGCCATGTGTTGGCGTTTTGTTTGGTTTATTCCCCCCACTTGTAAGAAAACCTTGATGGTAATGTTTGCTAGCTACCTCCCACGTGCACTATTCAATTCTAGTGCACCGTCACCCTCCGCCCACATTCTCGCCACCCAACCCAACTTGGTAAGGTTGGAGGGGTGTGTAGTGGGGACCACACCAACCTCCAACACTACGCCTTGGTCCCCACAAGCACCTATGCATACAAGCCTACCCTAGCACAAGATGCATGAAAGGTATTTGCAGGCAAAGGCTTGGTGAGGAAGTCCGCGGATTGAGCGTTGGTCTCCACATAGTGTAGCTCTGTTAGAATCTAGCAGCGGGAATGATTGAACTATGAAAGAGTTGGGTACAAGTATGAAACCCTAAAAGGGGTTGTACCCCATATTGGCTACCCTACTACAGCCTAAACATATATAGCAGATATAACATTTGACACACCCCCATAGGCAAAGTAGGGGAGAGCAAGGGGTCACAAGACCAATCAAGAGAACCAAAGCAAGCTCAGGGTGGATCACAACGTCACCACACACACTGAGCACAAGCAAAGGACCACAAGGCCAATTCACATGCAGAGGTATATACACAACAACAACAGTGCGGTGATCTCTACCTAGCAGAGCAGGCATGCATGTATATATACATATAGAGAGATCACAGTACAAGCAACGTCTACAGCAAGTGAGGCAAAGTGGGCATAAGGCCTAACAAAGTGCAGAAACGCTGATGATCACCAGACGGAAGTGCCTTGGTGAATATATCAGCAGTGTTGGCCCGAGTGGCCACGTGAGCAAGACGAAGCTGACCACGCTGCTACAACTCTCGAGCCAGGAAGTAACGCAGAGCGATGTGCTTCGTTTTGTGCTCCATTCTGTGCTCCTGACACAAGGCAATGGCGGCCTTGTTGTCGACATACAACACTCGAGGAGAATGAGGCCGCTCTCCCAAGTCGGTCAGCAGGTAAGTGAGCCAGCGTAACACCTGTGCAGCCATGGCTGTGGCGTAGATCTCCGCCTCACAGCTAGAGCTGAGAACAGAAGACGAGCGTGTAGAACGCCAAGAGAGTGAACCAGAGCCAAGGCTAAAGGTGTAACCCTGTGACGACCGCTGCGTAGCCTGGTCGTCAACCCAAGAAGCGTCTGAGTGCCCAGTGAGGACAACTGCGCTCCGCCCTCCAAGCACGAGCCCCATGCCCGATGTACCGCACAAGCAATGCAGTACCCTCTTAGCAGCATCCATGTGCACCTCTTGTCGCCGACCAGGAGCCACGTAGCGAACCAGAAGGCCAAGAGGGTACGCAAGGTCAGGTCGAGTGCAGGTCATCAGGTACATGAGGTAGCCCACTAGCTTTGGGTACGGGCCACTCGGCTCTACGGACTCGTCCGAAGGTGGAGCTGAGAGCGAGTGGCCTGTAGCCAGAGGACTGTGCTGTGGCAAGGACCAGGTGAAGCCGAAGCGTTGAAGGACCTACTGCACGATGTGTGACTGAGTCGGTGTGATGGTGCGGCGTGCTCTGTTCTAGGTGATCTGCAAGCCAAGGTAGCTGCGCAGCTCACCCAGGTATGTGCATGTGTGTCTCTTCTGCTGCTCCGACTTCAGCAGGGCGAGAGCCTCAGTGTCAGCAGTGGCAAAGACCAAGTTGTTGACGTACACGAGGATGTAGAACAGCGGCAGCGACGTGTCGGTGCGCAGAAACAGCGACGGGTCAGCAGTCGACGGAGCAAACCCAAGAGCCGCAAGTGTAGTCCTCAGTGTGTTGTGCCACTCACGTGGTGCCTGGCGGAGACCGTAGACTGGCCGCCGGAGGCTCCACTGGGTACCAGGAGGGAACGACCTAGTGAAGCTAGGTGGGCGACGCAGCCAAATCTCCTCGTGCAGGCTGCCCTGTAAGAAAGTTGTGCTGAAGTCAAAAGAGTGAAGCTCGTAGTCACGCTGAGCGGCAACGTGCAGTAGTACCCGAAGAGTGGTCATCTTCAGGGAGGGGGAGAAGGTCTGAAAGAAGTCTACTCCCTCTTGGTGACTGAAACCTTGAGCAACGTAACGAGCCTTGAAGACAGGCGCAGAACCTGGTGGCCGCTTCACCCTGAAAATCCACATGCCACTGACGATGTTCGCCCCAGGAGGGGGAACCTCATCAACGTAGGTGCCTGTGGACTTCCAGGATGCCATCTCTGCGTCCATGGCTGTCTGCCACTGAGAGGAGTACTCACCCGCAATCGCCTCAGCGTAAGAGCGTGGGGTCGGGATGTCTGGTGCATCCGGGTCTCCCTCAGGGGCAAGAAGGATGGCCACAAGATGAGGTACAGCGGCTGCAAGACACTCAAGGTCCTCCTGCTTGTCCTCAAGGACGTCCGTTCCAAGTGCACACTCACCCCCGACGGACGGAGGACAGACAGACTCAGACTCAGCAACAAAACTAGCGGCGTAGTCTAGACGACAAGCAGCAGCAAAGTCAACAAGCTCAGCGACTAAGGCAGACGCAACAACAGAATCAAACGACGGGTCAGTGACAACTGTGGCTAGCAGACCTGTGACAGTAGAGTAAGCAGCACGGGTGCGGTCAGACTCAGGCTCAGGAACGGTAGGCAGAGAAGACGCAGGAGGGGACGGCAGGGGAACACGCTGCGGAGGAGAGGAAGGATGACGGACGACGAGGTGGGTGCCGGTGACAGTTGGCTGACGCGAACAAGGAACACGACGACCAGGACGACCAGAATGGACAGGCGAGACAGGACACGACGCAGGCTCACGACGCTCAGTAAGACCCCCTATCTTCTCAGTGTAAGGAGAAGGAGCAGGCGGCGGTGAGCCAGTCTGTAACGGAAGACCAGTAGACAAAGGGAGACTAAGAACCTAGCGAGGTACAGAGTCAGACGGTAGCTGAGACGACGGAGACGGTGGAGCGAAGAATAGGCACGGCTGTGCAGCGCCACCAGCACCTGCAGCTCCAGCACCCCCAGCAGCCCCAGCACCTCCAGCAGCTCCAGAACCCTCAGCACCAGCTCCTCTAGGACCAGCTCCACCAGCAGCAGCACCCCTAGAACCAGCACCTCCAGTCCCAGGGTCTCCAGCCTCAGTGTCTCCAGCAGCAGCACCCCCAGACCCAGGGTCTCCAGCAGTAGCACCCTCAGGCTCAGCACCTCTAGCCCCAGCAGCTCCAGTACCTCCAGTACGAGCACCTCCGGGACCAGCACCACTCCCATCTCCAGTGACGCTAGCAGAAGTACCTCCAACGGCAGAGCCCCGAGCTCCAGAAGGGTGACCCTGACGGCGACCGTACCAGTCGTGCAACTGCTGTGAGGTGAGAGGCACACGCGGACGAAGGCGGCTACTCCAAGGAGACTGCGCACTAGCAGACTCAGAACCCTCAGCGCTAGCACCCGCAGCAGCTCCAGAACCTCAAGCACCAGCACACGCAGCAGCTCCAGAACCTCCGGCGCCAGCACCCTCAGCAGCTCCAGAACCTCCAGCAGAAACAACACCAGTAGCAGAGACACCATTACCAGTGCCTCCCGCAGCAGGGCCCCTAGCTCTAGCAGCGCGACCCTGACGGCCAACGTACCACTCACGTAGCTACTGTGGGGAGAGAGGGAGTCGACGACTAGAGTGCAGCGGCAAGGTACCAGCAAAGCGACTGCGGAGACGCCGCCGTAGGGAGACTGCTCACCAGACGCCTCAGTGCCCCTAGGTGCAGCACCCCCAGACTCAGTACTCCCTGGCGCAGCACCCCCAGACTCCTCACGTCCAGGCTCAGCACCTCCAGTCTCCGCACCCCCAGGCTCCGCACCTCTAGGCTCCGCACCTCCAGGCTCCACACCCCCAGGCTCAGCACCCCTAGGCTCCGTACCCCCAGGCTCAGCACCCCCACGCTCCACACCCCCAGGCTCAGCACCCCCAGAAGCAGCACCCCGAGCAGAACCACCCTCAGCAGGACCTGAGTCACCAGTGACCTCAACCGGCGCAGTCAACGGAGGAGGGTCTACCTGAGAAACTTCTGAAGGAGCAGGACCGGGAGCGGGAAGGGGGTCTACCTGGGGAGCACCTGGAGCGAGGAAGAGCGGCGGGGGGGGGGGGGAGAGGGGCATTGCGGTAGGGGAAGAGACAGTAAAAAGGAACTGACTCGTCAAACGTGACATCCTGAGAGGAGAAGACACGGCGCGAGGTGGGGTGGTAAAACTGCCAACCAGGCGCGTCAGGGACAAAGCCAAGGAAGACACAGGGAACAGCGCGGGCGGAGAGTTTGTCCGCAGTCGTATCGCGGACAAAGGCACGAGCACCCCAAACCCAGAAATGCGACGCATCGTCAACCTTCCCCGTCCACAGCAGTGTGGGCGAGGTCTCCGGCAAGGAGACACGGGGCCAGAGGTTGAGCTGATGCGCGGCGTACTGGACCGCAAACGACCACAGAAAATGGGGGGCAGCCGCATGGATCATGGAGGTACGAGCGACCTCCATGACTAAGCCAATGCGGTTCTCAGCAACCCCATTCTGCTGCGGAGAGGCCGGAAGCGTGAACGTCTGGCGAATGCCGTGCTCCGCACAGAAGGCTGCCAAGAGGTCAGAGGAAATCTCCCCACCTCTGTCAGAGTGCAGACGCAGGACCGGAAAGTCCAAATGGAACCGGTCGCGGAGCTGGAGACGAGCAGCGCGGATCCAAGGGATCAAAACATTAGGGACCTCACTCTTGGTGCGCAAAGGGAAGACCGTGGTGTAACGCGTGTAATCGTCGACGACCAGCAGGAAGTGCCGCTCGTGGCCCTGTCCACGGATGCGGGCTGGGCCCCACACGTCCAGGTGGAGAGTCCGCAGGGGAGCCTTTGTGGGAGGGAACGAGGAGTGAGGAGCGGCACGCTGCCGCTTCTCGACACAGGGAAGACAGGGAGGAGCATGCGAGGGTGGGAGGGGAGGGAGAACCCTGGGAAGACCAGAGACAAGGACACGGCAGTGCATGCTGCGAAGGCGCTGCACCGAGGGGTGACCAAGGCGGTGGTGCCAAAGGAGGGTCTGGTGCGACAAGGCGCGACACGAGCAGGGGGCCGACATCTGACCTGACGCAGACGCAGACGCAACTATCTGAGGGGACGCAGTGACCAGTGTGTACAGGCCCGACCCCGGCTGCCGAGTGAAGGTAGCCAGGTGACGACCCGTCTGAGCACACATTCAGTGTGTCACACGCTCGTAGGTAGGGGTGAACTAGTGAACACCCGCGTCCTGGAGCGCAGAACCCGCCACCAAGTTCGTAGAGAACGAGGGGAGGTCAAGACCCGACAGTGTGCCGGACGGGACAGCAGGACAAGGGAGGACAGTGGAGGAGGTCGCACAGACTGGACCACAAGAGGGGTTTGCCACGGAGACTGGAACCAGCCGAATGAGCGGCGTGAGGGCGGTGCTGTCGCGAAAGAAGGATTGAGAAGCACCAGAGTCAAGTGTGAAGGTGTACAAGGCCGCAGCAGGCGCAGTACCAGAGAGAGTAGAATCACCAGCACCTGGAGTAGCAGTCTCACCCGTACCTAGAGCAGGAGACACACTAGCCCCTAGAGCAGCAGCCTCACCATCACCTAGAGCAGCAGGCTCTATACCTGGGATAGGCGGTACGCACAGGTAACAGGCACGGTCAGCACTAGTAGGCAATGCATACATAGCAGTGAGAATAGCATCATAGTCAAGAGCAAATATATCTACCCTCTGCCCAAGCAGCTCCACCCAGTCGGGGAGCTCAGCCTCGTCACCAAACTCGGTACGCCAGGCGTCGCTCAGACAGGCGAAGCAGCGGGACTGTGTGTGACTAAGAGTCCTGCAAGCCTGACCAGTCTGAGTACCAGTGTGAATGACGTACGTGCAGCGAACGGTACTCAGAGACCCTCTTCTCTGAGCGTACCACTCACGAAGCTGCTGAGGTGTGAGAGACTCGCGCGGACGTCGCTGGAGCTGCATCTGGCCACTGCCATTATCAGGAGAAGCAGTAGTAGCAGCAGTAGCAGCAGTAACAGCAGTAGCAGAGCGGCCACCCCGACAACCCCAACTAGCGTACCACTCACGAAGTTGCTGGGGCGTGAGGGACTCACGCAAACGTCGCTGGAGCTGCATCTGGCTATCGCCAGTAGCAGCAGTAGCAGTAGCAAAAGCAGTAGTAGCAGCAACAGCGCGTCTAGGGCAGGCGCAGTAGGCAGGCAGACGGGCAGGCACGGCAAGCAGGCAGGCAGGTAGGCAGGCGGTAGCGTTCGAACAAGGCAGGTGCTCACCGGTGGCAGGCAGGGCCGGCACTCGGCGGGGCCGCAACAGCGGCTGCAGAGTAGGGCCGCGGCAGCTGTAGTGTAGGGTCGCGCCAGTAGCAGGTCGGGATTGCGTCAACGTCCAGGCGGGGCCGCGTCGGCGGCAGGGCGCGATCGCGGTAGTTGCAGGGCTGGGTCGCGCCAGCGGCAGGTCGGGGCCGCGGCAACTGCAGGGCTGGCGGGGCCGCGTCAGCAACAGGGCGCGGCCGCGTTAGCTGCAGGGCTGGCGGGGCCGCGTCAGAAGCAGGGCGCGGCCGCGTCGGCGTCTGGGCGGGGCTGCTTAGCAGCAGGGCGCGGCCGCGTCAGCTGCAGGGCTGGTGGGGCCGCGTCAGCAGCAGGGCCCGACCGCGGCAGGTTGGGGCCGCGTCAGCGGGAAAGCGGGGCCGCGACCGCGGCCTGACCAGGCCGCGACAGCGGCAGGGCAGGGCTGCGACCGCGGCCAGACGGGGCCGCGACCGCGGCCTGACGGGGCCGTGACAACGACCTGGCGGGGCCGCGCTATGGCCTGCAGAGGCTGCGCGCGGGCGGCGAGGGCCTCCAGGGGCGGCGCGCGGTCGGGCAGAGGCTGCGTGCGGGCTGCGAGGGCCTGCAGGGGCGGCGCGCGGTCAGGCATAGGCTGCGCGCGGGCGGCGAGGGCCTGCAGGGGCAGCGTGCCAGCCTGACGGGCCTGCAGGGGCGGCTCGCGGGCCTGAGTGACCTGCAGGTGGCAGCTCGGGGGGCTGACGGGCCTGCTGGAGCGGCTCGGGGGCCTGACGGGCCTGCAGAGGCGGCTCGTGGGCCTTACTAGCCTGGAGGGGTGGCGCACTGGCCTAGGACAGCAGGAGGCAGTGCGAGGGCTGCAGGACGGCGCGCGCAGTGCAGCACGTCACTAGGCAAGGCAGGCAAGCACAGGACAACACGTGGGGTAGCGCGGTAACCGCAACGGTAGGTGGGCCTGAAAAAAAAAATGGTCCTACGGACCTAGTGCTATGAAACCGTGTTAGAATCTAGCAGCAGGAATGATTGAACTATGAAAGAGTTGGGTACAAGTATGAAACCCTAAAAGGGGCTGTACCCGATATTGGCTACCCCACTACAGCGTAAACATATATAGCAGATATAACATTTGACAAGCTCCACCTCCTTGTCTTCGACGAGCTTGCGGATGAAGTGATGACGGATTTGAATGTGCTTGGTCCTTCCGTGAAGGACCAAGTTCTTTGCGAGGTTGATCGTCGCTTGATTGTCCACGTGGATCGGCGTTGGTCCCTCTTGCTCGTATCCTAGCTCGGCTAGGAGACGCCTCAACCACACGACTTTGGTACCACCACGGTTGAGATCAACATACTCGGCCTCGGTTGAGCTAAGGGCAATCAGATTTTGCCTCTTGCTTTGCCAAATAACCGCTCTCTCAAGGAGTGTGAAGACAAGGCCCGAGATGCTTTGCCGAGTGGAAGGATCTCCCGCCCAATCGAAATCAGTGAACCCTATGAGTGCTATCGGCCTAGCTTCATGGTGGAGCCGTAGGTGACTAGCGCCCCTAACATAGCGAAGACGATGCAATGCACGCTCGTGCTCTACCATGGGGTTGGAGACTACTCGCCGGAGTAGCCCAACCGTGAAAGAGAGGTCGGTGCGACTGCTCACAGCGGCATACATGCATGAATGAAAGCGCTTGGTCTTCTCGGGATCCATAGGGACTTCATCGATTGTAGCCAAAGGGAATGGGTGCCGGATTGCTCTCGCTCATCCCAAAGCGAGCCACCACGTCCTCCAAGTGCTTGTGTTGGTGAAGATGAAGAGTCTTGTGCGCGCGATCGCGATCGATGTGCATGCCGAGGTAGTATGACACGGCACCAAGGTCGCGCATGAAGAAGGCCGATGCAAGCTTCGCCTTGATCTCCGCCACAAGGTCATTGCAATCGGGAACGAGGAGAAGGTCATCCACGTAGAGAAGTAGGACGAACTTCTTAGCCCCACGGTTGGGGATGTAGAGGGCGTGATCACACTCACTCCGAGTGAAGCCCAACTCTAGCAAGTGGTTGTCCATCCTCATGTACCACGTTCTAGGGCTTTGCTTCAAGCCGTAGATGGTGCGCTTCAACTTGCACACACGGTCCGTACCATCCTCCAACCCCGGCGGTTTCTACATATACACCTCCTCCTCCAGGTAGCCATATAAAAAGCGGTTTTTACATCAAGTTGTTCTACCTCTACGTCAAGTCCTCTCGCTAGAGCTAAGATGACACGAAGGGTAGAAAACTTTGCTACCGGTGCAAAGGTCTCGTTGTAGTGAAGCCCGGCCTTTTGCGTGTACCCTCAAGCGAGCTTTGTATTGCTCCACCTCACCGTTTGGCCCGAGCTTCTTCTTGAAGACCCATCGGGCCCGACGGTGTAGGTATTTGGGGGCAAGGGGACAAGATCATACACATCATTTTCGATGATTGACTCATACTCCTCATTGAGTGCTTGAGTACAATTGGCGGCTTGGAGCGTTTCCATCGCCTCACGGTATGTGGTAGGTGTGAAGTCAGCCATAATGCACATGGCATCTCCCCTTTCATCATCATCCTCCACCACCAATGAGTAGTCGGCGTACTTCGGGTTCGGGTGAGGAGCTCTTCGAGCGCGAGTAGATGCAAGCGTTGGAGCAACGACGGTAGAAGGACCACCATCCTTCTCTCTCTCCACTCCAACCACTTCAACACCATCTCCCTTCTCATCCTGAAAACTCCTCTTCTCGAGAGCTTCTTGAGAATATGACTCGTTCGTGTCTTCAACTTTTGGAGGGATGACCACGACCGAATGCTTATCTTTTGGTGAAGTTGGGAAGCGGCTCTCGAAGAATGAGAGGTCACGTGACACCATCACCTTTCCCCTCTCCAAGTTCCACACCCACCATCCCTTGTGCTCAAGGTTATGGTTCAAGTACATCCCCACACGCGCCTTCACCTCAAGCTTGGTTCGTGTAGCATCGGGAACATGGTATTAACAAATGTGCCCAAAGGTGCGGAGGTTGGAGACGTCCGGTTTGTCGCCACTCCAAGCCTTGAGGGGGGTCACGTTCGGCAAAGTCTTGGTCAAGCTTTGGTTGTGAATCCAAGTTGCCAACATCGTCCCTTCACCCCACCAAGACTTGTCCGCATGCTTCTAACCGCCTCTACCAAAGTGCGGTTCAAGCGCTCCGCCGCTCCATTTTGTTGAGGTGGGTGAGGAACAGATACGTTGTGGAAGGTTCTTCGTGCCTTGAACCACCCGTCGAGCTCGTTGTTCATGTACTCTCCTCCATCTGACCAAATCCGCTTCAAGAGTTGTCCATCCTTTTCCGTCTCAATAAGCACCACCCACATCTTGATTGTCGTAGAAGTCACGCTCTTGTCCTTGAAAAGGTAGACCCACACCATTTGTGTAGCGTCGTCGAGGAGGGTGAGAATGTAGCGTGCTCCCCTTTTAGAGATAGGGGTGATTGGTCCACACAATTTGGTGTGGACGAGATCGAGCTGGTTGGAGGCGAGAGGCTTCGTGCAAGTTGGAAATGGCTTCCACGCTATATTCCCTTCAAGACACGACGATCATTTCTCCGCGCCAGCATTTGTTGACAAGTCGGTGAGTTTGTTGTCATCCCACGCACTACGCCTTGAGTTTTTATGGTGCGGTTGGTTGGTTGACGCGCTCAAGTTCCCGAAGCGGTTGTGCTCCAATGAAGGCTTCGCCGCTGCCGCGTGCACTGACGCAAGGTTCGGTGTAGCCACGGGCTTGAAGAGTTCGCTGTCTTGATGCGCTTTGTCGATGAAGCGCCCGAAAGATGTGGTCAAGGTCATGACCGTGCCTTCGATGTTGAAACACATTCCCTTGGTGGTGAGTTGTGACACGAAGAGCAAGTTAGCGCTGCGTCCTGGTACAACCAACACGTTGTTGATTGTCATTGGACCGCCGTCCACCGCAAGGCGCAACGTTCCGCGTCCATTCCCCTCAAGCGAGTCTTGATTACTGAAGACCACGCACTTGATAGGAGCATCCGCCAAGACATCCTTAGGAAACCCCGTGTGCGGCATCATGCGTTGTGTAGCGCCCGTATCGAGAAGCCATTCGAGCTTGCCAATGGCTCATTCTCCCGCGATGAACACGCGCTCCTTGTTGTCTTCTCCCAAAGTCACCATGTTCGCGTGCCGCTCCTCTTGAGTTGGAGACGTTGGAGTCCAATTCCTTGTCTTGCTCCGACACTCGCCCCACCAATGCCAAAGCTTCTTGCAATACCAGCATGCTTCTTCACGAGCATGACCACGGTTGTTGTTGTTAGCGTGTCCTCCACGTGAAGAGTTCGCGCTTCCACTTGCATGCCCACGGTCATTCTATGGCTTGGTGTAGACCACTCCCTTCTTCGCGCCA